CTGTAAGAGACCATCCATGGAAAGATAAGATCCCCTGGCAGCAGTCCCTGCTGGGTGCACCCCCAAATTCTGGTACCTTTCTCCACACTGCAGGAGTTTGTCTGAAGGGTGCTCAGATGAACCAAGTCAGGCAACTGGGCAAGGGTTTTTTTTTAAAAAAAGAGGGGGAACACAGAGCACACAGAGTGAGGAGAAAAAGGTAGCAAAACCAGCTTCTAGTCAAGCACTAAATGAATCTGAGGTGGAAGAGAATCCAAAGCAGTGTTCTGCAGAGAACAGACACAGCCACCACTGTTGGGTCCTTCTCCACAGACCCGGGGTGGAGCACACCCTCTTTCCATAGTCATCACTTTTCCCTGAGTCGCAGCAGAACAAAACTGACTCAGTTCTTCAGTTTCACAACAGCTTGCTGAGCTTCCAGTAAATGAAGTGAAAATTTAACAATTTTCATTCTTTTGTTGTTTGGGAAAGTACAAGAGACCATGGAATTGCTTGTAAAACTGTTTAGTGACAGCTGCTTTTGTGGGAAGGCAAAACACTTTGAAAAGATGAAAGCCAGGTTTTGCAGAGGTTTATCCATGCTCCTGTTTTTGGAGAACACAACCTACAGATTCTACACAATCTACAGGGCTGAGAAGGACAGGAGAAGCAAGAGATCCACTTCCAAACCGGCCCTTATCCCCCTGGAGATGTGGGAATTTCACTTGGGTTCAACCACAACCTTTTTATGCAGCAGATGGAAGCACACAGCCAAGCCCAGCCATCAGAACAGGGATTCTGAGACTGTATTCCACGGAAAGCAGGATGATCATATGATGCTGGGCTCACTTACATCCCAGCAGTGAAGCACTCCGAGTGGTTTTAGCTGTTATTGGTTTACACTGGAGCCAAGGCACAGGGGACAGCCCAGGAACACCTCGTGATCCCCACCACACTCGGCGGGTTCCAATCCCAGCTCTGCTGTGTTACATCACAGCTGGAGTAAAAACCGGCCCAGGAGAGGCCAGAAGGAAAAGAAAAAAAGGTTCGTTTGCATTCCAATGGCTTTTCCAGGGGCCACCCGGCCCCGCTCTCCCCGTGACCACCGAGGGCTCGGCGTGTGCCAGGGCACCGGCCCCTGGGTGAAACCTCTCTTCTCCCAGCTCCATTCAGGCCTCATTCACCGCTCAGAAAAGATTCTTCCCGAGGCATTTTCTCCAAAAAAAAAAAAAAAAAAAAAAGTCTTTAAAAAACCCGTGGTTAACGAGCAGCTTGTCCTTTCACAGACACAATGTGGGCATGTTCAAACCTGCCGGTGCCCCTGCACGGACCCACGGCCCCTCGGTGCCCCTTTATTGCTGTCAAACAGCACCCGGAGCAGGGCTCCAGCTGCTGGGGCACACCGGGGCATGAGTGGCATTTTCTGGGATGTTTCCACATGGAAACAGATGAACCACACAAAAAAAAAAAAAAAAAAAAAAAAAAAAAGACGTGTGTTATGTAAAAATAACCCCTCGGTGGCAATGCTGAGGGGCAGGGACACCCCAAGCAATGAATGCAGTGAGTGACTCCAGAGCAGGACTGGGAGCTCTCCCTCCGCACTCTCCTTCCACAGTTCTGCAAAAATCCCAAGTGTTCAGGCCATGGGAAAAGATGGGAAGAGCCAGGTCCTGGTGTCTGACTGCTGGCAGGTCCTTTGAAGTCTGTTCCCACTCTCTGAATTAATTCCTTTGCTGCCCCAGCTCTCCCTGTTGCCCAAGGAAGTGGATTGTGATTTGGGGGGGTTCCACAATGCCCAAAAAATGTAATTTTTTTTTCTCCACTTGAGATTCACATTGAAATGAATTCTCCCTGTGCTGCTTTTTAAAGGGATAAGTAACAAAGGCATCTTTTCAGCCAATGCTTGGTCTTCCAAAAACGTTCCAGAGCTTTTTTCATGCCCAAGAGTAGCAGCAATGCAGAGACAATGTGCGACCTCCAGCAGCATAGGGAAAAAATAAACCACTTTAAAACTAAAAACGAACGAAATATTTTTCTGTTAAGACTCTTTATTTGTAAATGTAACACCAAACTAAATGGTGTTTCATCAATCTCCAGGGATTGAAAAGATTTAAAAAAAAATGTATCAGCGAACTGAAGAGTCAGGAGAAAACACCTAAACAGAAGAAAGTAGCCTCCTCTGTAAGTGTAAACAGAAATCTCTTATTTCTTCTTGTCATTGACAAATTTTTTTAATTCAAGAACTAATGAGGGGTTAAAAACAGGAAAAAATGGGTTTTTTGAATCCATAGCAGGAAATGAAGAAGAAAGGCAAGAGCAAAGTTCTACTATTTCTTAAGCACTTAAAAGAAACAGTAATGAGAAACAGCCAGTCCTAGGAAAAATCCTACTTTAATACAGAAAGTTTAATTTATTTATCAAAACATGCTTCTTTTCTTCTGTCTTCTTTTCCAACACAAAGCTTTTAATAGCTCTTTAATGTACATACTTTGGCTCTAGCTCTTTCTCCCCTCCCTAGAGAGACCTTTTAAAGAGATCTCAATTTCCATTTAAATAGAAGCAATCAATAATAAAATACGTCAGTTACATTAAAAAGTATTATTGTCCAAGAGCAAACCAAGAAATCTTTCATAGCCATTTTAAACTCTGTACTTAAATGTGCAGAGGTAACACCTTCCTTGCCATCAAAAAAGTGCAAGCAGCAGTGAGTGGACACCAGTCAGCTTCTCTCAAAGTTTATTTAAAAGCCAGCAAATGAGAATTAGCCCAAGAAATAATTAGAAAGGAAAATTAATAAGGTGTCCTGCTTGCTGATTTCACTCATTGACACAAGTTTAACTTCAACACCTTTTGGCCAAGGGCAGGATCTGGGCACAAAGTCCATCCCAGTGGGGTTAATTCCACGGGATTGGGTAAAAACTTTCCCAGATGTATTTGTGACAAGACCCCTTCCTGGGCAGCTCCCACAGCAGGGTGGGAACAGAGGATGCAGCTTCAGCTCGGGCTTCAACTCACAGGTACCACACACAGCCCTTCAAAGGCTCTGAGATGAGAACTGTCCTTCCCTGCCTCATTCCTGAGGTGCCTCCTCACCAGCAGCACCCAGAGCACACCCTGAGGAATTCACCCAGGGAACCCACCCAGGGAATCCACCCCAGGGAACCCACCCCAGGCACACCCTGAGGAACCCACCCAGGGAACCCACCCAGGGAATCCACCCCAGGCACACCCCGAGGAACTCACCCAGGGAACCCAGCCCAGGCACACCTCGAGGAACCCACCCCAGCCTGGACTGCAGCCCTTCCACTGCTCCCTCCCCGAGCTGTCCCAGGGCAGCAGAGCCACTGCCAGCTGTCACTGCGAGCTCAGGGACGAGGCCACCAACAGCGACCACAGGGACAACACGATGCTTACCCAGAACCTCCACTGCCCTGCACCCAAAAACCTCCCCAGAGTTTACAGACCCCTGGGAATGACCTGGCACAACCAGCACAGGGAGCCAGCTTCCCCAAACCCTGCCTGAAACCAGAAACAGTTCATTCTACTCTAGTTCTTACCTAGAAACTAGAGCCTGAAGGAGTTTAAATTCAATCCACTGTAGGTGGAGATCACAGCAGAGACACAACTGACACAAAAGTGGTTTTAAATCTCAGCCTCACACCAACCTGACAGCTGAGCCTGCTGGAAGCATCCATCCCATGGCAGCGTGCCTCTGGAACAAGTTCACTTTCCTCCTTCAACCTCAGGGTCAGCACTGTGACACTGCCACTGGTGTCCCAGCACAGTGAGGGCTCTGACACCTGTCATTAACACACCTCGGTGTCCCCAGCACCATGAGGGCTCTGTCACCAGCTCCCACGGGCCGGAGGGATCAGCTGGAACCTGCACAACACTGCAGACTGAGGTGTGTTAAAATAAAACTCACAACCAGTCACATGCTGGCTGCCTCAGGCACCTGTTAAAAGTACTTTTGTACCCTCGACCACACTGTAGTCACACATGGCCAAGCCTCCACCTCTCGAGAATAGCCTGCAAACTGCCCCACTAATTGTGTACAATGGCATCAGGGCACTCAAACGCCCTCACCCACCCGTGCTGAGCATCCTCAGCATCACCACACAAAACAATGATGTTCTTCTTCACGGTCAGTCCATAAATGTCCTGGAAGTCCGTGGGAAGGACCAGCTACACTGAACGCTGCACCAAACACACTGCTGTCATTTCAGACCATTTCTGCTGAAACGCTGACACTCCTCATCACGCCAGCACACTTACAAAGGGCTTGTGCAGCCTCCTTCACGTTAAATACTCACTGGATGTATGCTAATTGCCTTTCCTCCAGTGAACTGTCTGTATTCCCTTCCGATTTCCTGTAGCTACAAATATGATAATCAGGAGAACAAAGACTTTAGCACAGCCACTCGGGCACAGCAAATGCAGTGGAGTGTGTATGCCTGACTCCAGCAGCAGCAGCAGAAGGCAGACCTGCAGCCTTGCTGCTCTGAGCACCCCGAGCCCACCTTCAGGAGGTGTCAAGACAGACTCGTGTAAAATCGCACATCGGAGCGAAGTTTCTCACTGTAACTTCCCGGACAATGCAGCCCCTTAGCAACGCGGCCGCTCTCAAACCAACCAATCCACCTTTAATTCCCACTTCCTCCCAAGCTCTCTGGACAGCAACTTCTGGCACTCCATCAGTCCCCTTTTATCCCAGTTTCTTTTTATAAATCCAAGGTCAGGTTTCCTCTCCCATCTCATGTGATGTGCTGGACTGAAGTTCTGCCAGCGTGGTCGGTCCCCTCGGCTGCCAAACCCCCTCCCGCGCTGCCCTCAGCCTGTCCCGCCGCCCACCGGGCATCTCCCCGGCTCCAGCGGACAGCAGTAACCAAGTGGGAAGCACCAACTCCCCCAGCCACGCTGAATTACGCCCATTAAAAATAAAACCCCATTGGGACAGAGTCCCCCCACCCCGGCTGGCTCGGGGGTCCCGTGCCCGGCCTCGCCCCCGGCCCGGCCCTCACCTCCTCCTCGCTCTCGCTGCGGAAGCACAGGCAGGCCGCCCGCTTCTTGTAGCCGTCCCCGTCGTAGGTGCGCGTCTGGTTGGACTTGAGCTTCATCATCCTCCGCTCCGGGGGCGGCGGGGCCGGAGGACGCGCGACCCGGAGGGCGGGGGCGGGCGGGACCCGCCGGGTGGCGAAGGACGGGGGGGCGCGGGGGGAGCGCCTGCCTGCGACAGTCTCTCTCTGGGTCTCGCTTCGTGGGTCTCGCTACGCGCTGCCGCCCTTCGCCCGCCTCACCCCTGCCCTCGCTCCCGGCCGCGCTGCCGCCACCGCCCGCGCTCCGGCCACCGCCGACGACGACCGCGCCGCCATCTTGGGGCTCGCTACGCAAACGGCGTAGCGCTGCCGGGCGGGGAGGCGGTGCTGCCCCTGTACCCTCACGGCGCGCCCGCTACGCAAAGTGCTCAGCGCGGCTTCCAGAATCGCTCCCCCCGCGCAGGCGGCGCCGCCACGCCCCCGCCCCGGCTCGCGCGCTCTGCGCCACTGGCGCATGCCGCGTTCGGGAATACGGCGGGCGGCGTAGAGCGGCGGCGGCGGGCTCTCGGCCTTACGCAAACGGCGCAGGGGCCGGGCCGGCCGCGCGCACGTGGCCCCGCTGTGACAGCGGCTCCGCGGGGACAGCAGCGCCAGCCCTGCGCCGCGTGGGGGCGCTGCGGCCGCGCCGGCACCGCGGGTCCGCGCCAGGCCCCAACCCCCGGTGACACCGCGGGTCCGTGTCCAACCTCCCGGTGACACCGTAGGTCCGTGTCCATCCCCCTGGTGACATTCCGTGTGTGTGTTCATATCCCTGGTGACACCGTGGGGCCGTGTACACGGCCCCGGTGACACTCCGTGTGTGTGTGTCCACCCCCGGTGACACCGCGGGTCCGTGTCCATTCCCATTGCGGTGACACCCAGCAGGGTGTCCACTCCTCCTGCCGGTGACACCGCGGCCATGCCGGGCCCGTTACCGGTCGCTGTCACCGGCTGCCGAGCGACGCCTGGCGGCGGGCGGCGGCCACTGCGCCACTCGCCCCCCCAACGTTCGCCAACGTTGGTGAACGCCGCCCTCAGTCCCTGTAAGGGACAGCGCAGGTGACAGCGCAGGTGACGGTGCAGGTGGCAGCGCAGCGGTGCAGGACACGCGGACCCGCCCACGCGGGCTATGTCCCGAGCAGAGGGACATGGGCTGGCACAGCTGAGCTCTCCATCTGCAGAACAGCCCAGCCCTGCTGCACTGCTGGGAATCATCACTGCCCTGGGCAGATGGGAAACACTCCCACATTCCTCCAGGACTCACCTCCACACCCCCTAAACTTGGAGAGTTCCTTCACTAGAACCTGTATTTAATCACTCCCAAAGTGCTGTTCCAGATGCCAAAGATCTGAGTCACACTGTGCTTCGTGAGCTCTGTTTGTGCACTTCAGAGAGACACAGGCATGAACCCAGTGACATTTTCACCTCTTTTATTATACACAAAACATGAGCACGAAGTTCTACTGCGGAGGCTGACCACGTCCACGACCGAATCCACCTCTCTGCAACAGCAAAAGGAGAGTGTTAGAAATCATTGTGTCAAGCAATGACAGCAAGAACAAACATCATCAAAGGTCTTTGATGGCACAGGTCAGCCAGGCGAGTGCCACCAACATCAACCCATTCCAGCCAGTTCTGTGCCTCATACCTAAAATACTTTTATTTTTGACGTATAAAATTATGGATCTCCAAAGAGCTCGGCTTGCTCTCAAACCTGTCACTGGCCTCTGTCCCACCACATCCTGTCCCCACAGTGAGTAAGCTGCCTGTGAAGGGTGACAGTTTCCAGTCTCTCTGACACCCTCAGAGTCCCACAGGCAGGACCCTCCAGCTTCTCTCATCAAAGGCTTCAACAAAAGAAGCAAAGCTCAAATGCAAATACTCACGAATTGGAATTCTGTGGCTGCTCCAGCACCAGCCTCAGCCTTCTTGTCAGCACCAGCTGCAGAGAGAGAAGCAGTCAGTGCCCATAGAAACCCTTGCCCAGGACAGCACTCTCCTGCCTGGAAGCAAAGCTTTAACCATCCCACAGAACTAAAACTGGGCTCAACACAGCAAAGTGAAACAGCTTTAACTAAGCAAGTGTGAGAGTTACTGAACCAACCCCAGAGAAAATCCCACAGCTCAGCCGGACTGAACTCCAGCAAACCTCCCATCCACCCGCACATACAGACTCTTAAGCTATGCCCAAAGTCTCATCTTCCCCTTTTCTCCTTCAGAGGAGCCTTAGAGGTGGGAAAATTGTCCCCAGGAGGGCAGGGGGGGCACACTCACGTGGCACGGCGCTGCGGCGGTACGTGTCCCGGTCAGCCTCGCCCCGCGTGAGCCGCGCCGGGCGCTCGCCCTCCAGACCTGCAACACACAGCAGAGCCTCAAACACTGCTCAGCCAGGGCACAAACAGCTCCTTCCTGCACCCCAAGGTGCAGAACAGCATCGGGTGTGCCAGCAGTGCTGCACCTGGGGCACATCAGGGAGAATAAACCTAAGGAAAAAAGTGATTTAGTAAAGGGAAACTTCGCTTTAAGGGTGAAATCTGTTCAAGTGTCCCAGCTTGTGGCAGGGTGGAAGTTGAATAATGTGAGAAGTGGGCTTGCAGCATCATCTCAACAGTCTTCTGGTCATCAAACCAGTGCTGAACATTATTGTTGCTAAAAATCCCAGAAATGCTGGGAATCTGCCATGTCAAACAAGCCTGTGCACAGCTGAGTGACAAACTACAGGACAGAATTCTGACCCCAACCTGGAACAGCCACAGTGCCAGTACCCCAAATCCCCCCACAGAACACATTCATGACAGTAAAAGTAGATTATCTGTGGAATCTCAGATTAACAGCAGACAAAACTCCTGTAGGAACACCCAGACATGGTGGGACCACCACCTCTCAGGGATTGGGACGTGTTCCTGGAGCCCAGGCTGGGCCCACCCAGGCAAGACCCACTGAGGGGCAGCTGGCACACCCCAGTGTCCACCTGCACGTCCCCAGGCACTGGTTTGGCCATACAAAACCCAGTTCTTGTAATAATTCTTTTATTACACCACCTCTGTGGCTCCCAGGCTGCTGCTGCCTCAGGCAGGTCATCCATAGCAAAAAAGAGCAACAAGTGCAGCCCTTCCACATATCTCTGCCCAGATGGGGCTGAGGAGGGTTCCAGCACCAGGACAAGGCTGTGACACCACACACAGCTCCTCCTGCACAAACCCTGGCCAGAAGTTGCCACCTCTCCCTCTCTCCCTTCCAGCTGGGATGCAGCTCCTTTAGCTCAGTGCATAAAGACAGCATGTAAAGAACAAATCTTGGAACATCTAAGCAGCTCAGAGATCAAAGAAAGCAGTGTATTCTCAGTTTCTCTGCAATTCCTTCCTTTGAAGCAGGTGATGCTCCCATTTTGTTTGGCTCAGACACAAACTGCAGCAGCTGGGGGTGAACTCCCAGCACCCCATGGCTCCTAGTGTGGCTCAGAACCAAAAAAGCACAAGCCATGTGAGCCCCCAGAGCCAGAGCACATGTGGCTACACCCCCTGCACTCAGGGATGTGAAAACCCACCGAGGGAAAAATCAGAGCTGCAATTTCAACACACAGAATCACAGAGCAGATGGGGGTTGATCTGGAGATCATCCAGTTCAGCCCCTCTCAAGGCAGGGTCACTTGGAGCAGGTGACACAAGCATGTGTCCAGGTGGGTTTGGAATATGTCCAGACATGGAGACTCCACACCCTCCCCGGGCAGTTGTTCCAGTGCTTTGCCACCCACATGCAAAGTTCCTCCTCATGTTGAGGTGGAACTTGCTGTGTTTTAGTTTCTGGCCACTGCTCCTTGTCCTGTCACTGGGCACCATTGAACTGAGCCTGGCAGCATCCTCTGGTACATCTCCGGGGATATTTGTGGGTATTTGTCTTCTCTCCTCCAGACTAACCAGGCCCAGCTCCCTCAGCCTCCCCTCATAGAGAGACGTTCTAAACCCCTCAGCACTTCTGTTGGCTCTGCTGCTCCTCCACCACAAGTTTGCTGTTGACCTTTAACAATGAGCCCTGTTTCAGCAGCACCTTCAGTGTCCGTGGGGAAGGCAGAGTGGGACACCCAACCTGGCCACAGGTGATCCCCAGGTGGGGCTCAGCCGGCCCTGGACAGTACCTCCACCATATTCCAATCTCAGCAGGCATGTTCCCAGCAATCCTAGTCCCAATCCCCACTCAGAGCATGTCCCTCTGGGTCCCAGCTCTCCCCACCCTCTCAGGGGACACCAGTCCACTGCCAGGTACAACAGCCACAAATCTCAACCACGTTTCCTTGCTCTGCTCACAATTTTACACCCAATTTCCACAGCCCCACAGATATGGCACTCTCCTGACAGCCCAACATGCCCACCCTTGGCTGCCCAGCACCCCTGTGCCCACCCCAGCTGACCTTTGGGCCGGGGTCTGCCGGTCTCGGGGCGGCTCCGGCGCAGCGTGGCCGGGACGATCTCGGGGGGCAGGTGGAGATAATCCCGCAGGTACTGGATGCCCTCATTGGTCAGGTACCAGTAGAAGTGTCTCCAGGCAAACTGCTCCTTCACGTACCCCCGGGACTTGAGGGACTGCAGAGAGAGCTCCCAGTTAGGGCTGAGCCCCTCCCAGCTCCTCCACCAGTGCCTCACAGCCCCTGGGGTTCAGCAGGGCAGTGGAAAACAGGAATGTGGGAATGGGGAACAATTCACATGCACAGAACACAATGCAGCACACCCCAAGAACCAACACCCCGTGTGCCCCCAAGCCCTCGCACCTGCATGGCTTTCATGACGTGCAGGTTGGGCACGTTCTTGTCCACGAGCTCGGGGTGTTTGGGCATGTGCACGTCCTTCTTGGCCACCATCACCCCCTCCTTGAACAGCAGCTCATAGATGGCAATTCGGTTCTTCTTGGGCATCAACATCTGCAGAGGGCACAGGAAACGGGGCTCGGTGACATTTGGGCACCAACATCTGCGCCGGGGACAGCGAACCCTGCTGGGTGACCCCAGTGCACCCCGAGTTGCCCCGGGACGCTCTTCCCACCGGGCTGCTCCTCGGGAGGGAAAACCGAGCAGTCTCAGCCTTTACTCCTTTAATCATCCCCCGCACTGTCGGTCACAGCGGGACACGGGCACAGGAAGGGAAGGGCTGTGACCTAGGAGGGAGCCTGTCCCGGCCCGCCGCGGACGCCATTGGTGCTACCATTAATTCAAACTGAACCCGGGAACCGGGAGCCGTGGGAGCCTCTCGCCCCTCCGAGAGCCGG